TACTTCACTGTGGATTTAAGAAAATGGATTTGAAATGTCCCAGTTGATTATTGGTAGAAGAAATTGTGCTTTTTAATGGATAGGGAAACTTTCTGGAACAGGTGGGTCAGGAACGTATTTACATGAGATAACCAAACAAAGAATTGAGTTACTGAGGTGAAATTTAGAAATTTACTGTTACTATTTCACTGCTAGCTCTTGTACTGGAAAGTTCAGTCCCTACAGAGCAGACTCTGAAACAGCTAGAAATGTTCAACCTCAGAAAGATAAAATTATATACCAACATGAGGCTCTGGAATTACAATGTGTATGTATTAGTTTTATCGCAAACCATGAGTCTTCTACACAGCCAGGAATAATAATTATTATGCTTGTTACTTTGGAGTTAGAACATGAACTCTAGCTCTAAACTCCACAAGCAGTTGTTTAATTTGGTAAGTAACTTTTGGTGACCCAAACATCCTGAAATATAAATTATAATACCTAGGGACTGCTTAAGTTGCAAACAGACTCAGCTGCCTAAGTTAGAGAGTGAAAATATAAGTGAAAAACATTCATTCATATTCTAGTAACATAGAAGGAAAACAATCTGACTATAAAGTAAAAGGGAGGTTTTCACGGGGCTTTATATATTCCAGTTTCACATGATACCAGGTTAGTGATATATTCTGTCCTCAGGAATGTTCATGTTCCTACAGAAGTATTTGACCTATGCCTTAAGAAAAACATTTATGCAAAAGAGAGGATGACAATTAGTACAGATAACTACTGCAATGGATTCTTCTATTATGGGTTAGTTCATTTTGCTATAACAAAAATCCTATAGACTGTTAGTTTAATCAACAGAAAAATATTTCTTACAGTTCTGGAGGATGAGAATTCTAAGATCAAGTCCCCAGCTCACTTAATATCTGGTGAGGGGTTGCTTCCTGGTCTGCAGACATTTTTTTTACTGTGTCCTCTCATGTTGGAGAGTAGAGAGAGAAGATGCAAGTTCTCATGTTTTTCCTTAAAGGGCGCTAATCCCATTCACAAGGGCTCTACCCTGATGAGCTAGCTAACTCTCAAATGCTCCATCTCCTAATGCCATCATATTGCTCATTAAAATTTCAATATGTAAATGTTGGGAGGACACAAATATTCAGTCCATAGTATATTATTCATACCTTTATTTAAGTTATGCTCTTTTGGAAATTTCTCTATTAATCCTCTACAATATTCACTAATTACATCTGTAGACTCAACATGGTTATTTCAGAAAACAACCGTGGCAGAAACTGGACGACTCTTCCTTGAATTGTTTCTTTTTCTTTCTGAGCAAGACTCCATTTTGTGGCCTGCCTTGTAGTTATGATGGAGAGTTCTTACTAGTGGAATGTGTATGGAAGTGATGTACATAAAACTTTCATTGAGCCATCTTCCATGCTTGACTTTTCTACCAACGTATGTTGTAATTATATGTTGAACACATCAGATCTCTAATGTGTAAAAAACCTGTGCCCATAAATAAATGCTCAGTGAAGACTTGCTTGTCATTCAGGACCTTATAAGTATGATGTGAATGTACTTCTAATACAGATTTTTGTGTTGCAGCAGTCAGTATTACATCAATATAAATATATTCACATTTGTGGTAAGGGAATTTTAGCTTGCTGACCACTTACTATGTTTTGGGCACTAATATTTCACAAAATTTATTTTACATAAGTTGTTGAAGCAGTTGTGATTGCCATTTCTCAAACGAGGAAATTAAAGTCTTAGAAAAATCAAGCAACTTGCTGGAGAGGACACAAAGCACAGAGAGGATTCAAACTCAAATCTGCAAGTCTCCAGAGCACATTATGTGCTTTTCAATAAACCATTTTGCATCTCAAGAGGAAAATATTACATAAACTACATATAGTGTGCATATTTGTCCATTCATTAACATATTCAATACACAATTCTGTGCTATCCTAGACAAGGTATCCATTTTTTTTTTTTTTTTGGTATTGGGGATTGAACCTAGGGGTGCTTAACCACTGAAACACATTCCTACACATTCCCAGCCTTTTTATATTTTATTTGAAGACAGAGTCTTGCTGAGTTGCTTATGGCCTTGCTAAGTTGCTGAGCTGTGAATTCGTGATTCTCCTGCCTCAGCCTCCTGAGGCGTGCACAACTATACTGGGCTAAGATGTCCTTTTATTAAGACAGAGAAGTAGTAATTTTTGTTATCTGATGTTCTGACCTAAGTAGTTATACTTCCCACCCCCATTTATATTTTGAAATCGTTTTAGGAGGTGAGACCTTTGGGAAGTAATTAAGTCATGATGGTTGGGCCCTCAAGGAATAAGATTAGTGACTTTATAAAAGAGACCCAAGAGAATTCTCTTACTCCTTCCAACATATGAGGACACAGTGAAAAAGCACCATCTGTGAAACAGGAAACTGGGCCTCCACCAAATCTGCCAGTGTCTTGATTTTGGACTTTCCAGCCTCCAGAACTGTGAGCAATAAATTTCTGTTATTTTATAAGTGATCCAGAGTCTAAGGTATTCCATTATAGCATGAATGATATCCTGAAATTCTAAATGTGCTTCTAATTTAAATTATTCCCAAGAAAAGGTATAAGTACTAAAGAAATAGCTCTTGGTATGTAATTTATTCATTACAACAAATAAATAACTACTACTGAGAAATACTAGCTTTAAGAAAATCTAGCCTAATAACAAATGAGGATTTTCTCTTTAAAATTAGGAGAGACATTCCTATGGATGAACATGCTGCTGCACTCCACATTATTGGGATGTGATGGCAAGGAAGAGGAGGAGAAATCTATGCTTTGTACCAGAGCATCGTCATACCAAAATTGGCAGATTCTGCCAAATTCATAATGCCAAAGTGTAAGAGAAAGAATAGTGCTATAGTTCTAATTAATAATTTTATAACAAAAGTTTTTATTATAGAAATTTAGGAAACTACTATAGTACTAAAACAAAAATGTAGCAGAAATAGAAGCTTAAATGTATTTTTCAAATACCTGAAGCTCAGAGTATACAATCCAGTCTAGTTTGTGCAATACTTAATTTTAAACCTGATTCAATCCACCCAACATTTACAATCTGATGAGAATACAATCTGATGAGACCAGGAGAAATATTTTGAGGAACTCTGGCTCATAAAACATATTTAGTTCTTTTCAACGTTGATGTTAAAATTGGAAACAAATGAAAATCTCATTGATGAGGTATCTAATAATTCAGAATACTATAACAATTTTTAATTAAATATTTAAAAGAGCTTTACACTCTTTCTAGTGCTTATGTCATAAGAGACCATTTTCTTAAAAATAAAAAGTGGGTTGGGCTACTACATAATAAAAACCTGACCCATTTGCTGGTTTTACATAAGCAAAGTGCAACCATATCACTTTGCCAATAGCGACTATTAGAATTAGTCTGGCAATTGTGGGAATAAATTATGTCTATTTTATACATAAATTGAATAGAATGAGGACTCAGTTTATTAATCAGTTCAAAGCCTGTTGGGAAATATGGGAAAAGAGAAAGGTAACAATGGAGGACTTTACTCTTATATGGATTTTCTTTCTTTCCTTTTTTTGGGGGGCAGAGATGACAATTGGCATCGCGCATACTGGGCAAATACTCTACCCGAGCTACATCCCCAGTCCCCAACTTTTTATCTTAAAATGGCAAATTTTGTTCTAAAATGTTCAAGCAAAATAGGTCTCACTTATTAGTGGAGAAAACACCTTTTTTTCTTATTAGGTTTCCTACTTCAGTTCACGATCCCAAAAGACATGCATTTCCTAAGAGAAAAGATGTGTGCTAGATGCACGAATGCAACTCACCATACAAATACCCAGGGATTTAGTATAAAAAAGGGGATATAAAGTGGAAGGAAGTTCAGATGGGGAGAAACTCTTCTACAGAAAAACCCCAAAGCCATTAACAAGAATTTTGCAATGGGAAAAAATAATGGGTACCTTAACAAGGATAGAACCGCGTGGCGAATTAATGTGGAGGTGAAGTGGCACCCCCTTTCTCCACAGAAAAGCCCTCTTCACCATGGCTGATTTTAAGATCGTCAGCAAAAGAGTCCATTGTAGGTAAACTTCCTATTTTCATGTCACCCTGTTTACTTGGCCACTGGCTGAGAAGATACCAGCACTCCAGGTGCTGGACACCCCCTTACTAGTTTTTCACAAACTTATCCAGTATAGTACTTTGAAGAAATGTGCAAACAAGGCCTCTGGCCTTGAGCTGGGCTTCACAGAGATGTCTACATTTTTAAGATAAGTTACAAATGGGCTCCATGGTAACAGCTGGCAGGGGGAGGAAAGAAAGGGGAGATGAAGCTCCCCCTTCTCAGGTGTTGTCCTTAAAGAGTTAACATGCCCAGAATAGTGAAGGAAAAAGCTGCTTTTGTGTAAACTTCTGCAGACTGTGAATTTCTGAGCCCCTCCCCTTACACGCTGGGTATAAAACTCTGAAACTCCCTGAACTCGGGGTTCAGGGGGATTGATTGATTACAGCAAAGGCTGTACTCTCTGAACCTGGCTGCAGCCAAATAAAACTGTTTCCTGCTATCTTCGGTGCCTTGCCTCCTTTGTCCCTACAACACAGGTATTTCCAGAAAGGATGAAACAGTCTCAGAGAAAGTAAACTTTATAAAGAACTTTCTGGACTGTGATGTATGATGAAGTATGGCCATTTTCAAAAACAGTGTCTCCTTTGCACATATCCTCAGGCAATGAACTTTAAAAGAAATGGTATCTTCCTAGTAAACATAGGGGCTGCCTCAAAGTCAACAAAAATTAATATCCCTAAGAAACCCTTCTTGGAGATTTTAAGAGTGAATTAAGATCCCACTACAACCCTATACCATGTGTGGTAAATTGTTCTTTTTTTTTTTTTTTTCAGAAAGGTGTTCTTTATAATGTTTGATAGGACAATAATACGAGTTTGGCGTCTGGGACAGACCCGGAGACCCCGCACCCACACTACTGGGGGTGGAGCCCTTTACCCCCAGCGGGCCCCGCCCACCAGGGGGCTTCCAGGTGTGGCCTGGCACCCGGCCCACTCGCCCTGGGGAGCCGCAGAGATGCTTAGGCATGGATGCGGGAGCCCTAGCCAAGGCGGGTGGGCATGCAGAGGACGCCTCCACCAGGGGACCTTCTACAGCGAGGCCTCGGGTGTCCACCGAGAGCCACGCGGGCGACGGGAAACCCAGAACTTCCCGCTCAGGAATGACTGCCCCCGCTCCCGGCGCTGGCTGGCTGGGGGGATGTTCTCGCGAGAGGAGAGGGGGCGTCGGGCGCCGCGGGTTTGGGGGGCACGGGGAAGCCTGAGGACTAGGGCCGGGTAGGGAGGCGGCGGGCAGGCCCGGGGACGCGGGGAAGCCTTTCCCGCCAGTCGCCGAGAGCCAGCCCCTGACGTCAGGAGTTTTCCTCAAAGTCAACAACAAGCCCCGCGGCGGCGGCGAAAACCGATCAGCTACAGCCCCACGAGGGAGGAAGGAGGGGGCGGGGAGACGGCGGCAGGGTCCCTTAGGCGCGGTTCGGCCCTGCAGACGAGGCCGCAGACCCCCGCCCCGCGCGAGTCGCGCCCAGGGACCCAGAGCCTCCGCCTGTGGCCTCCCCGCCGGCCTGACCCGGCCCCCGCCCAAGCGGTGTTTTCTGGTGATGAATTGAATTTGTAGCCGGAATCCGATTCCCATGTAGAGTCTCCGCCTCCTCGCCCCCCCCCGCCGCCCGCCCTCCTCCCGCCTCCTCCCGCCGCCGCCGCCGCCGCCGCCCGCTCCAGCTCCGCGGCCCGGCCCGGCCGGCTCCCTCCCTCCCTCCCCTGCAGCCCTTCGCCTGCCCTCCCGCCAGTCGCCCCGGGCTCCAGGGGGCCAGAGGCTCTGCGGGGTGGGGGGAGGATAGGAGGGGTGGAGGAGGGAGGGGGGACCCCCGAGTCGCCCCCTCTCCTCCCCCCGCCCCCCCAGCTCCATCCTCCGCCACCGCCCGAGCAGCTGCGGGGCCGCCGCCGCCGCCTTTGCAGGTAACAGCCACCGCCCCCCACTCTCGCCCCCCTCCACTCCCTCGGGCCCCCCAAGCCGGGTTCCCTCTCACTGCGGGCCACGGGCGGGGGGTGGCGGCGGGGTAGGGTGAGGCGGGGGCGTCTGGGTTGTCACTGCGCCGGGGGCGTGGGCGGAGGCTGGGTCACCCGAAGCTTTGGGTGTGGGTGGCGAGGCCAGGGGATGCCCGGCGCGGATGACACCGACACCCCCTTACTTTCCGGGGGAAACTGGGGGGCGGTGGTGCACTGGGGGCCGGGGGAGGGGTGTTCCCGGCCTAGCGGTACTGTCTGTGTCTGGGCTGCCCGGGCCCGGCGCCTCCGTTTTCTGCGCAACTCTGGCTCCTTCCCCTCGGCCCTCCCAGTCCGGGCCGCGGGGCGTGGGGAGGGGGCGCCCACTTGGCCCGGGGCGGCGGTGAGGTTATATAACGCGTAGCGCCCGGTGTCAGTGTGTTTGGGTTGCTGGGGGGGGGGGGGGGGGGGGCTGTCTGTCGCTTGCCCTGGCGCTGGGGCTGTCTATGCGCGTAGGGTGGGGTGAAGGCGAGGATGCACCGGCGTCCCCCGGGGTCCCCTTCCTGTCCCACCCTACCCTGCTGCCTGCGCACAGGAAAAGACGGCGCGGGTGGGGTGGTGTGTGTGTGTGTGTGTGTGTGTGTGTGTGTGTATGTATGTGTATGTGGGAGGTGGGTAACGTACTTGTCTGTGTTTTTAATAGTAGTGGGGTTTTGATCCGCTTGGGAGTTGTGTGCTAAGAATAGAAATGTGCGGAAGATGCTGGGTTTGGCTGATACACTGATGCTGTCGCTGCTGGCGGCGGCGGCGGCGGCGGTGGCTCTGGCTGCAAGTAAACAAACCAGCCTCTTCCTCGTCCACCTCCTCCTCCTGCGCATCAGTCTGCATCAGCCATGATGTTGGTGGGGCCCTTCAGAGCCCAAACTTAAAGTCTCGGTGGTTGCTGTGATAACCCTGATGCTGAGGCGGGGTCACCCCTTGTTTGGGATTTCCCGGGAATCTACCTTTAGGCTAGAGTTACTGAAACTCTTTGGGGCTAGGTTTTTTCCAGTGCTATTATTTACTGGTTGTTTGTCCTCAGAAAGCAGAGGAAATGCTCACCCATACGTCAAAAGCTAGGATGCTCACATTTATCTATCAAAAAATGTTATGAAAATAAAGCTCATTTTGCCAGTGAGGTATTTTGGTTGTAAGCCCAATGGGTTGTAATTGATAGTTTCCAAATAGAAACGACAACGAAACCTATATATTTATAATAATTTCTAGTACTAATAAAATATTTACACTTTGTTTTTAGAAAATGCTTCTTGAAGCTAAAGGATATGAATGACTTTTCATTCATAGTACGTTGACCATTACCTCAACTCATTTCTTTAGACGTGTTTCATATTTTCTAAAGTCATAAGTTTTAGAAGAACCATAAATCTCTAGACAACCACTGCATTTTGTTTTCTGTAGACACTCATTGGATGATATATTTACTTAGGGAAAAGTTGGAAAAATCAAAGGTGGACTAGTTCAATAAAAATGATTTAAGAAATGAGATTTAGAATGAGTATCATTTGAAAAATATGTGTAAATATGAATATTCTAGGAGGTGGTTGTCTAAAGTGTGAAATTTTTTTATTAGAAAATGGCTACTTCATACATTTCTAGTTTTTCCATAATATCTTGAGTGAATACACAATTATATGCAAGACATAATGTAACTTTTTTCTTTGTCAATATATAATCTTGATTGTCTTTGAAGATCTTTTTGTTTTCATACTTGGGATGACCCCAGTATCTGGTTTGAGTTTCAAAATTTAAAGTCAGGGAAAGCATACATTACATGAATGAAACAACATTGGAATTTAGATGAACTGCAGGTAGTGGTTAGTTTTCAGTTGTATTGTGTATTTTCTATGGTATGTTTTCCTACAATATTTTAAAGTTAAAAAGTACATACTAATTATGCCAAAAAAATTTGTGGTACCGTTACTCATATTCATTTTGTCTCCCATGCTTAGCCTTTCTGTAATGATTAGTGAATTGTCTTCCAACTTAAAATTAATATTTAGCTTAATAATCTTGACATTGATCCTTAGTTGTTATGTATGTCAGAACACTTAAAGGTCTGCTTTGGACTTTTTTGGTTATGTAATTTTATAGTTGTAAAATAGTTTTAAGGTTTTATTCATTTAACAAATTATTAGAGTGGAATGTTGTGCTGGGGGCTAGTTTGAGTAAAAATTTTAAATATTTATATTTTATTCAGAAGATTGCTATAGTGAGAATGAATTTGTTTTCAGAATCATTGCAAACAAACAAACAAAAAGTATTGGTTAAACTTAGAGAAAATGGAATCTGCAAAGTAAAAATTTAAGATTTTTTAAACTCTAGCTTTTGATTTAAACATGAAAATTTTCAACCATTGGGGCTTCTTTTAAAAGAGGAACTATAAATTGGTTTTGTGGGAGTTTACCTTTTATTTAAACTTTCCATATTTTTATGAAGATAGGTAGTTACAGTTTGCTTGGTTTTTAATACCTGTTAGTTCAGGAATTTGTCCTTGAGATGATTAAGACACACTTACTATTAATATGTTAATAGATCTTTACCTTGATTTGATAGGATCTGGTTTTTAAAGTATGAGTCAGTCTGAAGCATTAAAAATAATTTAAAACTATTTAGATTGGAACAACAATGTGCAAGGACAGAAAAACCATTTTCATTTTGCTTTGACCAAATTATTTTTGAAATTTGGCTTGCATTTTTAAGATAATTTCTGTAGAAAATTTGTGTTATAAAATTTAAATCATTTAAAATTATTCCTCAACTCCAGATTTCAGTATGTGTATTAGTATTATAAAAATCCTGGTTTCACACATTGTACACTTTTCTGGAAGGGTAGTCTGAATTTTCTGATGTTGACAGATGTTTTGTCATGGTCTAGATTCCAATTTCCAGTTAATGCTAGTTAGTGCTTGGTGAGTATTTGTCATGTGCCAGGCACTGCTGTGTGTACTTTTCATGTATTAATTCACTTTGTCTTCACAGCAATTCTTGCTACACTTTTGAAAGTGATTTTCATGTGAGAAAAATATTTACTGTGGCATAAAAAAATCTGATTTTTCCTGATTCTGGAACACTTTTCTTTAGCATTTTCTCTAACTTGTTTGTGCCTATTTTTAGAGTTAATTCTTAGAGTTTAAATTTCATAATGTACAATAAGCTTCACAGAATCAATATAGTAAAAAACAGAAGTGTGTTGACTGACCCATTAACATTCTTTTTCATTTCATTTGTTTTAAATGCCAAATTGAATGCCTCTACTGCTTACACATCTTATTTTAACATTGTAGTCTTTCATCAGATTAAATATAAACTCATTTCTCCTGCCAGGTAATCTACAAATAGTATTTGGTAATTACATTAATATGTTCTTAAATTATAGGTGTGTGTGTTTTTTTTTTAGTTCTGCTTTTTATCAGTCCTCTGCTTATATTTATTACCAACTGTAGATACTTTACATTTCTAAGTGAGTATATTTTGCTAATCTGCAGAGAAAATAGAAAGATTTACTGAAGGAAGACACAAGAGAATGTTAAAATGAGATTTTTTTTTTCCTCCCTAGAGGAAAGCCTCTGACCATATTTGAGTGGCTGGGGGATGTTTTGCCAATATTGTAGTTTAGACCAAATTTTGTCTGAATTGCTGTTTGATGCTTTATCTTCCCAACTATTTATTCAGCTCTTGAGGACAAGAACTATGTAAAATCATGATACTGTCACTTATGATGCCATCTATATGTGAAGCAGATTTTTAATAAATTTTGAGAAATCAGATGTTAGTTCTGGAAGAATTATGAGCTATTCAAATAGCTCATCTAATGCAACACTTTATTACTAAGGAAATTAAAGAATTAAAGGGATCTTACACAGCATTACTCTGGGTAGGGCAGAGTCTGGAACAGGGAACCAAGTTTTTTGGTTAGTCCAGTGCTCTTTCTAATGTACAATTGTGATGAACTTTGTTATAGGATTCAGACTTGACTGGTTAACTCTCAGTTAAGCCTGGGGTAAAATTGTTAAGATGATTTTGGCATTTACTGAACCATATATTAATTGTATTAATGTGTATGTATAGATTTTATTTTATGATTAAAATGGTCTCCAAATCAGATTTTAGATGTATGTTAGAAATATGTGGCCAGTTATAACTGAAGATATTTTGGTAGTCCTCAACCTAGGTTATCAAGGTGCCTTCACATAGAGACAAGTAACACTTTTTATATGAGAAATGGACACTTTTTATAAGAAAAAAAAAAGGGATAATTTATCAGAAGCTTGTTTATTTTTATTTATTTGTTTTTTGTGGAACTGGGGATTGAACTCAGGGACATTCTGTCATTGAGCTATATCACCAGCCCTTTTATATTTTTAGACAGGGCATATCTTTGTTGCCCAAACTGGCTTCGAATTTGGGATTCTACTGTGTCAGCCTCCTGAGTAAGTGGAGGTTACAGGAATGCATCCCTAAGCCTGGCTCTTGTTTAGTGGTTTAGTTCATGAAGCAAGTGAATCTGATGAGTATTTTCCTAATTGTTTTAAATTAGAATATTAAATATATCACCTAGTCACAAACTGATGATTTTAATAATGGACATATTGGTTAAATGGCACTCAAAATGCCCTAAAAAGGAAAAAATGCTTTAAGTTTTTGTAGATGTATTTTATAGAAGTGACAGTTTTAAAGAACTGATAATTATGTCTGAAAGTTATATCTATTCAGGTATTTTACCATCACAATCTGAATCTCTGATAGAGGGCTTTAAGAATGTTCCACTAAGTGTATTATTGTGCTCTGATGAGAGGAAAAAAATCCAAAATAATAGTATATGGTTTATGTAACTCACTTCTGAATGTGATATGGTGTTTTGTT